ACTCTTTATTTTACGCGTATGTTTCGACAGTATTTCCATATACTGTATATGGGTCGCGACCCAAAGCTGGGCTCAACAAATATCTAAAAGCTATTGATTTTATTTCCTAGTAAATTTGGTGCTTGCGTAGTTTGTGCACCAAAATTGCGCACAACATGAACATATTATTGTAACAGGTTATGGTTCAGGTTGTGCGTCATTATGATGCACATGTTTGACGAAAAACACTAATACAAATATCTCAATAAATACCTATAAGTTATTGATTTTATTTCCTAGTAAATTTGGTGCTTGCGTAGTTTGTGCACCAAGATTGCGCACAACCTGAACATAGTATTGCAACAGGTTATGGTTCAGGTTGTGCGTCATTATGATGCCCAGGTTTGACGAAAAACACTAATACAAATATCGAGCCATAAAAAAATTGCTCAAGGCTGCAAACTCCACACCCATGTAGAAATGATGGGCAATGACCCCAAGATGAATAATCACAAATAAAAAAAACTTTATGTCTGAAATCAAACTTGGGCCAAAAAGGTCCCCTTATCTGCCGGACTATTGGCTGATAGTTAAGTTTCGCAAGAACGTTTGCGGCCCGCAATGAAAATCTGGCTCGTTGCGGACTCATTCAACCGCTCCGCGGACTCATTTGAGACCGCGGACTCGGGTTGGGAAACACTGGTATAAAGCAATTAAAAAAGTTGGTTGTGATGCAATTGTCGAGAGCAAGCATTCACTATACCCTTTCCCGACACTGCGTACTCGATCTGAAGAAAAGCACTGGCAACCCTGTTTCATCATCGAGGCGCAAAACTGGGTGTTGGGGATACATTGTGTCGAGTTGATACATTCTGTTGAAAATTGCTTTGCTCATGGAGAACGTGTGAGTTTGAACCAGCTTAACATCATCCCGAAGTATGATACACGTATCCGATTATGGTACACACTCTGAAATAGTTTGTACGCTTAGATTTTTTTTTTTTTACAAATATTGTTTTAAACAATCGTTTTCGGCATTCCTACTGATAATTCAATTGCTTCAACATGATTTCAAAAGGGACCAAAGCTGTTGGTTGATTTTCTAGGTTCCCGTACATTTGAACCCGCGTACATTTGAACCCACAACAATTGCACCTGCATACTATTGCACCTATGGAATTTTTTTTGTTTTGCGGATATTTGAACCCATACTAACCTTAACCCATGGGTTTTAGTACCCGCATATAGATTGAACCCGCGAATATACACCTGGGTTCGAATGTACCTGAGTTCAAATGTACGGTCACCGATTTTCTAACCCAAGTAATTTGCAAGCATACTTTTTTTAAACTTCATAATGCATTACAAATTGAAATATAAAAACCGACCTAAAACTTTTTTAGAACACGCCCTTTTTTTAAAATTTGTCAAGTCATGCGACCCACCTCAAAAATAACTAGCTAACAATAAGCTATAAGTTACACATAGTGAGGCGAAAGTATGTTTTATTCAAAAACACGTTGATATTACATGGATGAAAAGTAACTATTCAAAATAAAGAAATGTAAATATACAAAAAAAGACGGTCAAGACAAAACCTTATAAACAAATATCTTTATTTTTAATAACTTAATGCCCCTTCAAAAATTGTCTGCGCACTATTGTCTGAGAACCAATGCTCTAGCAGTATGGCGGTAGTTGAGATGTATCTTTCACAGGGAGTTGAGGTGGGTGGGACTGATGGATATTCAAAGTCAAGCTGTGGCAAATAGGGATAGCGCATTTCATTATAACCGTGTAATAATCAGTCACCGTGTAAGTAGATAAACGCTAGTAGCATGAAATCTCATGTAGGGGATGGACTCATTTGCTACTTTATTGGATGTCACTAGCGTTGCCAACTTTGTGTTAAACCATTCCGGGACACCTCAATGTCTAGAATTTGAAAATTGATGCAGCAGAAGCTTGTGAAACACGAAGCACGTCGAAAGCAACAGTGCGCGCTGCGCGTCGTGCAGCGTTATTTCAACAAACTGTAAATAATTTTATCATAATCAAAGTAACTTGTGAAATGTTGACCATTTGACACATAAATGCAAAAAAAACTAAAACAGGAGAAATGTACAATGTGTGCTGAGTAGATTTAGTTATTTAACAAAACAAAAAAACGCGAAATCAGTCTTTCTGGCGTTTAAATTTGTATTTTTATTGTGATTTTGCCTCTTTAGAAGATTTTTGTTATAGTTTTCATAAAGTTAAAAAAAAAACGCCCAGAACATATTGATGCTAATGCGCCAGTTATCAAAGGACATTGTGCCTCTCAACATTCTTGTAATTCATTAAATCTATTTTCACGTAGTCAATGCCAATGAACCTTTGACCTCCGGAAATTCTTTCTATTCTTTACCATCGCAAAATTTTCGGTGCTTACTTTAAGAGTGATTCCGCGAGTTGGCGCCTGTAAAATGGGGTATTTGTTTCAAACCATCATTCTGATTCATAGCATTCATGAATCTGTTTTTTAAAAGTACCGGTAAATTTTTTTAGCCTAGTCTATCATAGCTATTTCTACACTAATTTTTGATTACTGCAATTAAACTGAGACTTTAAAGAAGACAAAGTGATCATTGAATTATTTTATTTATATTTAAACTCCCGAAACACAACTGAAAACTAACGAATAGAATTTAAAAACGCGAAAACAAGGTAATGTTTACGACCACGCCCGGAAATCTGTCTGAGTGAGTGAAAGTGTCTGAGCGGATGCGAAAAGGGACATTGATACGCCATTTTTTGCATCTTGCTGATTAGTCAATGTCACGAAGAAAACAAGGAAGTCGATGCTCGGGGAAACATTCATTAAGTTGTAAGTTGTAAATTGTTTTTGCTGCTGTGATTCAGCAACAAGACGCCATTTCAGAAAATCACGTTGACTGGCCGTAATTTGCACATGTCAGAGCCGCAGCCTGCATATGTGGCACATGTTGTATTTTCTTTTCACCCTTCAACTACATCCTTTATATTTACACTTGCATTCTATTGCGTCTACGGCTGTGAATGTTCGGGGGCGCAAATGTCTATGGGTGCAAAAGTTCATTAGTGTTTACAGTGGTGGGATTCAAATTATTTGTCAGCCGGTTTCTTCACAAAAATCATATGTTTCATTCGGTTCTATTACAAACAGAACATTGACAGTAACCAGTAATGCTAACCGGTTCGCTGATCTCATAAAATTCCGTGAGACGGTTCTATAGAACTGGTGCGAACCGGCTCCCACCACTGAGTGTATATATATATGTACGAGGGGTGAAAATGTCCGTGGGCGCAAGAGTATGCATGTGCAAATGTCCTTGGTGAAGTAGGTGCAAATATGCTGATATGTTGGGT